AAAATATTATAACTATTTTGAAGTCTTGTAAAGCTCTTATAAAGTATAATAATGTCTAACAATATACATACTACTTTTAAAGCTTTACATAAGATTGTATACATTATAAAACTATATTACTCTTGTTAAAATACAGAGTTCTTTTAATGTCTTTTCATTTTAGGAGGTTGGATATAAGTTCATTTACATATTGCCAACACTTATAAACCTTATTCATATTGACAATATGTACATACCTTTTTGTGTTTTATAAAGCTTTTTATAATTTTCTCATTTTGAGAGGTTGGATATATGGTCTTTTATATTTTTTAGAAGATTTATATAATTTATATGTTTATAAGCTAATATAAGCTATAGTTGCCGTGGTCCGGTTCTGGACCGGTCCACCCCTCCTTTACCTGGACTGTAACCCGGACCTCTTCATACGGTCCGGGTAAAGGAGGGACCTGGACCCGAACCTTTGTGGACCGCTGTTGGACCGGACCTGAGGTCCAGTCCAGGTCCGGTCCAGGTATGACCTGGACCAGTAGAACTTATACTTACAGTCAACTCAAGAGTGCGTCCCTAATGTGAGTAGAGGAGTTCAAGCATCCTACAACAAATAGTGTCTAGAATTCTGTACTTCAGACACCTTGACCTTCTTAACGCTCTCAACAGTAGATGTCTTGACAGGCTTGCGCTTCCTGGCTCCCTTTGGTTCATTACTGTCAGGTGAGTCGTCTCCTCTAAGTCTCTTTTTTCTGCAGCAATAGCCTCCTTGTACTTGGAGGACAGAGAATTTCGACGAATGTTATGGCATGAGTGGCTATCAGCAGTACTACCAGCAGAAGCACTCTTCCGTACTTCCTGCGGATCAGGTGGCAGTGAAACGACATCATCACTTGGAGAATGCGGCCGTTCCATCTCCAAAGCGTCCTTGAGAGTACCGTCTACACAGAGAGCAGGTCTTTCTGGGTCCATAAGTGTAAGAAGAAAGCTTATGCAAAAAGAGCGCAAATTGTAGTTCAACCCAGTCCAAATATGTAAATTGTAATGCTACAGTACATTTTCCCACAGCTTCATAGCTAATTCTACTGTATTTTTAATACTTACTTCTACTACTTTATGTATGTATCAAGTGAGGAGTGAACACCCTGAATTATATGTCAACTCAACTGGGTGTTCTTGTATTAAAATAGAAACATGGGTCCTGGGTCCAGTCCTCAGTCCTTAAGGTCCAGTCCAGTCCAGGAAAATGTAGCATTTCCTGGACCCAGAACTGAACCTGTTCTGGACCTGATTGGACCGGACCTATTGTGACCCGGACCTCAGGTTCGGTCCTAGGGTCGACCCGGGTCCATTAGGTCCAGGACCGAACATCAGCAACTATAATATAAGCTTTAAGACTTTTCCCTGATGCCGCACAGAGGACATCGGTGTAAACACTCCATTAATCCGAAACCAACTGCAAGGCAGAAGGTTTAAGAAGTTGAGTGAGGTTACTGTAATTACATGTATGGGTGCAACTGTCACACGAACTCTTGCTTGGTTGGGTTGGATTGCATCACGCATCATGCTAACATTGCTAAGGGTAGGTTGCTTCCTGCCAGAAGTGTGACGATTTTTCTTATAAATAAGTGTATTATTTATCAGAAAAGTAACTACATTAGCCATATATGAATATTACACAATCACAAAAGACGGAGAGTTTCACAAATATATCCCCATATATCCATACTAGTACAATCTATACAATTATAGGAATCTGATCTAACAACTTTTATTTCAAAAATACTAACTATTTTTTCTTTGCCCCCATTTTTATTGCTTGAAAGTCTTTGTGTCACACAAACTCTTGGCTGGTTGCTTTGTTTCACACAATCATGCTCGAGGCCTGGTTGCACCCATGTAATTACAGTGTTATCGTGAGACGTCATGTGACCTGACGAGTCACGGTCGCTTTGCGTCACAAGCTCCTTCCCCTCCCTCAGACTCTCTTCTGCAGATTTGTGTCCAACTGCTACAACAATTTTTCATCAATATTACGTTGAAATTACTCTCTGCCACCTGATTTCTCCATTTTGTAAGGTCTACGTCTCCATCTGTGGTCTCGCGCTAATAAGGTTACAACACATCTAGTGTACAAGGGACTCCTCCACGTTTAACGGTGATCTTGCTCCACGCAGAAGCTACGAGAAGGTTGGAGTCAAGCTCCTGCAGAGTGCCTTGCACAAGGTCCAATATCATGAAAATGCCAATTCTGAATCAAGACGCTATCAAGGATTCACATACACTAATAAGAAATAAGAATGCCATTTAGGTTCCGTGACTTCAGATAGCCAATCATTGAACATTGTTCTGTGCATCGATAACAATGCTTGGAATCTATTGGATGCAGTAAAACGCCGTGACCAGTGACATACAAAATACCTATTCTCATTCGAAGAAAATGTTGTTTCCTGAATAATCCATTCATAACCTTTCTGCTTTAAAATGAGAAATCATTCATCCGACTCCCAGCCAGCCATCCCAACCAACGACACAACCCTGCTCTCATAAATATGTCTATCAAGTCGTCCAAGCTCTCTGACGGAACTCAAATCCCCTGGATCGCGTTTGGTTCTGGAACAGCGTTCGTCAGAAAAGAGTGTAAGGATGCTGTTGGACTTGCCTTATTCATGGGAATGACGCATATTGACACTGCCGAAAGGTATCAGAATGAGGTGAGCAACGATGCTTTATCCTCCAGTCGAGAACGTCGCTGAGTAAAATGACTGAACTTCTGTGCAGGAAAGCGTCGGCAGTGCCATTGCTTCATCTGGTATCCAGCGTCCCGACCTGTACATAACCACAAAGCTCGCTGTTATTCCATCAGGACAAACAGTAGAAGACTGCCTACGCCAAAGCCTGAAGAAACTTCAACTCGACTATGTTGATTTGTACCTTATTCATGCGCCCGTGTGGCATCTTGATCGTGATGGCGGCCTGAAACAGGTCTGGCATGAGATGGTCGAGGTGAAGAAGAAGGGACTCACACGGAGTATTGGAGTAAGCAACTTCAATATCAAGTACCTCGAAGATATCATCGAGCTTGGACTCGAGAGGCCCACCGTTAATCAGGTACATATCCCGTGTACGCTCTCCTAGCGTAGCAGCTAAGCGTAAATTTCATAGATTGAGTATCATGTATTCAATTGCTTACGTCTCGAACCACTACTTGTCTATTCCCGAAAGCACGATATCATAACGGAAGCTTGGGGCAGTCTCACTCCACTCCTTCCCGACCGCATCAAAGACAACAAGCAACTTGCTGACGCTTGTATCAAGATCAAGTCCATAATTGACGAGATCGCCAAGAAACGCGGGGACTCTGTGACTCAGAATCAAATTCTATTCAAGTGGCTTGAAGCAAACAAATCGTTGCTGTCACAACGTCGACGAAAGAGTCACGTTTGAAGGAATATCTCGAGTCCGAGCAGGTTAAGGATTTGACGCCCGAGGAGATGGAAGCAATTGATAACTCTGCTGGAATACATTATCGTGTTTTGGTGAGTGTGTAGCTTATATTGTTCTATTTGTGTGGAGGAACTGAATCTTCCGTGTCTTCTAGAATATCGCAACTTGGATGGACGATATATAGACCGCGGAGCATTCTGAGTGAAGGGTAGCACAGCACAGATTATTCTTCATCTATTGCGTAAATAGTTGGCTATCCTTAACTAATTCCACGCCCATCAAGAATAACAGAATACTGAAGCTTTCAAGGCCGATCCTAATACAATGCATTATAGCAATACTAATATTTAAGAAAGGCGAACATGGTGTCCAGAGTGTGGACCAGTACATAAACCTCAAAAAAAATAAGAAATATTGCACAATCTCTTCAAGCCACAACCTGTGCATCTCCTTTTCAGAATAAAGCAAATGTCTAACAAATTGCAACAGTACACACCCTCCTTTATACCAATGACTTCAGGAAGTGCCAAAGCGAGGTAAGTCCTGTCGACCTCCGCTTGAGTAAAACTTTTAGATCAACGTCATCATCATTTAGTGTGATGTCTATGCAGGCCTTAAGACTGCATTTCCTGATTTCTTTGGGGGCATGGCAGTCCATTCCCTCAATATGGATTATAAGGAGGTGTTCTATCAGAGTGTCTTTTTTACATCGCGTGTGCGAAGTGTTGCTTTCTTTCGCGGGACCAAAACCTAACGAATTCGGAATTTCACTACAAACATGCCCACACTCCTTCGGGTTTACAGGACGACAATTCCTACTGCGGCCCGGCATCGTAGTAACTGGGCAGTCGACTTCGCTGATAGCAGTGTCAGTATATCTGCTCAGTTTATCTGCGCTAGAGACCGCTTCCGTCTCTTCGTATGCAGGTGGACTAAGAGAGAAAGTCAATAAATAGTAGCAGCATGTTAAACTGGTACTTACCTTGTGGTATGGGAAAGCGTTGAATCCCTTGACAATCGGCGGATCGATGCCATGCTTCCTTCCTGAGGGCTGCAATTGGATAAAGGTATGCCCTTAAGTCAGAACTCGATTAGTTTGCACATATGCAACTAAGAGATGGTCCAAGGAACATACATTGGGTTTATGAACAAGTTGTTCAGAAGTATTCCTATCAATGTTGTGCTGCTGCTGATGGTTTGAAGTGGAAATCGGCTGCATTTTACCATGGATTGTACGCCTCGAGATGGAAGTAGAAGTACTCTTTTCTGTGTAAGCCATAGCATCTGGATTGCACGAAGACGAGTGATTTCTGGTCACGGTTGGTAGTGTAGATCGGCCCATTCGTACTGGTGACGGTAGTCTATTGCAGTGACTTACATTTCGAAAGTTTGAAGCTTTTATAGCAATTTTTTGAATATGCTTCTTCCTAGGCTGAAGGGGTGAACTAGTAAAAGGACCATTTCTAGATTGAGGTGCTGGAGACAGACCATATTTGTTCACGCGTACTTTTGGCATGCGTCACGTGCTAGACTTGTAATCTAAGATGTTGTAAGTGGTTCATGACTCATGGTTTGCACTCTCCAAATCAGCACCAACTTCAAGTTCAAGTACGTGGCTACTACAAACAGAGTCCATATTTTTATCTTATGATTAAATACAGCGCAGGACAGTTTATTATACCTGAAGACCAAGAAATGAAACGACTTTTGTGCCTCGTAGCAGGTCAGAGATAAAAATTCGACTTCTGCTGCGGCTTCCTGGACCATACCTGTCTTCAATCTGACTTGCGTTTTGCACGAGATTCGGCGAGGAATCTGTGCTTTATGCATCTAGAGTATGAAGATGCAAATAGGCAAACCGCGCAAGGAATGCGTACACAATTTCATCGATGTCCATTTTGGGTATAACCTAAATTTGGCTTTTGCTCGGCGAGACAAATGCTATTCTGGGAAGAAACAGCCTACCGCCACGAGATCGCATGGTCGCCCCGTAACTCGACTTCTCACCACATTCGCCGAGTCAGCTAAAACTATCCTGGGTCTCCTTCGAGTCGGTTACCCGCATAACTTTCCGGAGAAACGGCGAACAAGAACGGTTTATCATCGGCGACTTAGGAGCCCGCAAATTCTCACGGATTAATCATCAAGGAGTGAAAGAACCAACTCGAAAGAATGGACGCCCTTTGTACCCATTCGCGTGAGATGCTTCGAACAAAGCTCATGGATAGAAGTGATACCTTCGCGCGACAGCCGGTGGCTTGTACCTAGCTTGCCGCATACTTCGGAGGGTATTTGTGCTGACCGGATTCACATCCCTCACATGGCTGATGTATCTTTACACCATACTGCAGTGCTTCTGGTTGTTAACGCGTGGTTTAAGCTATGTGTTTAAATCACCGTAAACTAGCTCGTAAAACAGAAACAGACGTTAATCTGAAGTGCAGCGCGGTTTAAACGCGCAGGGCGCGGCGAAATTCTCACCCCGACCAAGGTCTAGGCCGACTCCCGTTCACCCAGGGATGAACATACCGATAAGGGCGCAGGATCAAAGGTGTACACATGGAATTCTGTCGTCCAGGACTGCTTTTACATTTAGGTGTGAGCTCGTCCATAGGTTTTTTCCAATTATCTCGGTATTTGTGTGTAACCGGCTCTAGGCAACCGTTCCGACGCAACTGTTCGTCCAAAGCTTCGGCAGGCAATGGACCGGTGCGAGTGTCAGAGGTAACATCTTAATGAACGCCATGTAGTTGGTGATACTTATGAATAGCGGTGTTATCATATAATAATTATGAGCTCGCTTCAGACGGCATGACGTGAATTGCGTAGCTAACAATAGCATTATCTTTCGGTATAATGGAACTTTAATATGCAACCGCGAACTGGGCCTAAGTGGATTTTGACAGGCTCCGAATTAGCGCCAGTACGAGAGTGTAATCAATTAACAATTTAAGATAACAAATACACAAGTAAGCAAATATCATAATCGGGATTTGCCAGACGAGGCCATTTGGACACAGAAAGAAGCTCTGTTTAAGTGCTAGACTCGACAGGGAAAGAAGTTCAGAGCGCTATTATGTCTCCAAATAGAGGATTTCGAGCTACTCGTGAGGAGATAGCATTAATACCATGTATTCGGACAAGGAACGGAGTGAATCCAGGATACGACCATTCAGGATGCTGAAGCCCGAAATAAAACGTTATCCCGCTAGAAAGGAGTTGCCCTCACCTATGATCCGTTCACTCTCAAACTGCAACTAAAATTAGGTCAGATCGTATCGGTGACACCATCGATCTCTGATCGTTCAGCAGACGAAGTACCTATCCACTGAGGTTGGAACTGTTAACTCCGAAACAATCGTTGCTCGGACCAAGCATTAGAGAATTCACTGCTTAAATGCGCCAAGCCACCATCAGTAATTTTAAGTTATCCAGCTCATGCTGAGCGTGTGGATGACTCGAAATTCAGTTCGCAGCTTGGCCGCTCAATATGCATCAAACTCGTTTCATAAGCGTTGTGCTGAGCCGAAGTAGCCTCTCTTTCGGACCGGATAAGACGATTCCATGTTCCCATGGGATAGGATTTCTTTTACACAGTAGTGGTAGATTCAGCAGGGGTTATGCCACATGCATCACGAAAAAGTCTTAAGTATTATACTTGCTTGTAATCTTGTATATTTTGTATATTTTATAAAATTTGTCCAATTGCTTATAATCTTCCTGGGGGGTTAAGTAATGACAGTACAATGTTAGATAAGTAAGTAAGAATACTTTTAAAACTTGGCAATTTCCATTATAATTTTATGAATTGTCAAGTTATAAAAGTGATTATAACACTTTCTAAGATTACAAGACTAAGACATACTTATTTATTTGAGAAAGTATAATATCTGCTTATAATGCTTATAAGTCATTACAAGCATTTGAATGGTTTGCTTTTGCTTAGTATACAATTTTGTATCAAATAATTAATCAAATATAATTATATTTAAATTATAGAATACAAAAATAGTAATTAATACATTATTTCTACAATCCCAACCCCTGCACCACTAGCTGCCTCTGCCTCATTCTTTCGCGAGCGGAATTTGCGTTGGTAAAGGATTAACACGTTCGAAGTAATCTTCGTCACCACGTCTTGGTCGTCACTGAGTCCCTGCAAGTTGAATTGCGTACGCGTGTGAGTTGTGAGGTTGAAGAGGTTGAGCTACACCTGTGAGACAGGTTTAGAGTGATTAGCAAGTGACAATAAGAAAGCAAAGATAGACGCACGGCGACGGCGTGCAGCAAGTGTGAGTGGTACATGCAAATTAAGATCCGGAG